AACAAAAAAAAAAAAAAAAAAAACCTAGCGGATGGTAGAGAGTTAACCATAGTTAACTTTAAATTTAACCATTAAAGCCTTTAGTGGTTAAAATGAAATAATGCGGTTTTACCCTTTACTAGGTACACTGTACTGTACTGTCACTGCGCAGCAGTACAGCAGTGTAAGGTTAAGGCGGCTAGGTAATGATAGTACGTACATAGGCGGCGTATTAAAGCAGGTGAAAGGTTATAAAATTAGCCCCTCAAATCTTTGATAGTTTCATATTTGTCCCTTACAACTTTGAAATTGCAAATATGTCCCTGAAATCATAAGAGCTCTTACAAATTGGTCACTCGATGACCGCGCCTAAGTTTCTCATGGATAAGCTCAAACCTCACAATTACATTTGTCGGGATATTTTGTTCAATGTCTCGTAAAATGAGGCGATCTATATCATTCACAGACGGTTAGAGGGTTAATTTGTGAAATGCAACTATTCTATCAACGATGTAAGTTACTTCGCTCTTTTAAAGTTTATTATGACAGGATTTCTACTGGCACGTGGGGAACATGTGAGCAATTCCAGAGGTTTCAGGGACTAGTATAGTATTAATGAAAGGTATAGGAACTAATATGTAAAAAACCTAAAATTGAAAACCTGCTTGCGCTTTGGGTTCAGGTTCAGGCTCAGTGATAGGGATGTTAAATTGTATCCGTATCCGAGGAAATATTCGTAACTGTATCCGTTAGGATATGGATATGGTTACTCAAATCTATAATCGATAGGATATGGTTACTGTTATAGGGTGTCCACTGTTTCTTACAAATATGCTATCCCGAGAACAGACTCAGTCGAGTCGGCTTCATTCCCCAAAGACGACTCGAAAGGCGGACTTAGTCGAGCAAAAGATTGCTACTCAGCGACCAGCCGACACTTCCCCCGAGGGCGATTGAGAACATTATTTCTCAGCATTATTTTACCATTTATGATCATCATTACGACTCCACGTCGCCCGCTGACAAGCCTCGACGGCTGCAGGATCCCCATACCACAGAAGTGACTCCACGTCACTCGCCGACAAGCCTCGACGGCTGTAGGATCCACATACCACAGAAGTGACTCCACGTCACTCGCTGACAAGCCTCGACGGCTGCTGATTCCCCATGTCACTGAAGTGCTCTCATCACTCACCAATCAACACGTATCGGGCATAGGGTGACTCAGCCTCCAGCTCACCCTTCGCCATCATCATAAACCGTATTCTCACTAAATGCCTATTCTGTCCTTGGCGTCCTTTATAAATACATACGCTATTCGTCATGAAAAAAGGTTGGATTTCCTTACTACCTGAAAACTCTCTAGACACATATTAGAAGAGCACACCGTTCTTCCTTCACCTCGCCCAAGTCCACCAGCTGACTTGACCGTCGGAGGTACCATGGGGGAAACAAGTCCCGTACTCCCACAATTCTTGTGTGTGCAGGTGATCCGTCCACCCCGAGCTCTGAGAACCAGGCATAAAGTCGAAGAAGGAAAGCGGCCCCCTCTCAACAGTTCAACCTCTTGACGATCCAGCAACTCTGCGATTTCAACTGACTGGTGATATCATACATCAACAGTTTGGCGCCCAGCGTGGGGCTACTTTCCTCTTTTTTGAGAAAAAATGACAGGTTCTGAGCAAGAAGTGGACCAATCTCCTCTGGGGCCACCTCCTCCAAATTATGTAACCCAGGGTCAACTGGAGCAGACGGTGGACAGGCTCTCTTCATCTCTGAAAGAGTAGTTTGTCGCCCTGACCAATGAGCTTCTCTGGCGAATTCCGCGGCAGTCACGCGCCGATGAACAACCTCCACCATTTGGGGATCGACGATCAAGAACTCATCCCCATGAAGCACCATGGAACACACCGCGACCTCCTCCCAACCACCATAAGCAGGCGGAGGACTGTCCCAAGCAACTAAACAATGGCAATAAAAGTCCTGGTCCTAGCCATTCGGGAGGACGTACCAAAGGAGCAGGCTTTAGAAAACCGCACCGTCACGACTCCCCAACCTCATCGACCATTGCAGGAGTCTCCGGCTACGATCGGTGATATAAATCGATCGTTGATGCTATTAAAGGAAATACCCCATTATCTGACAAAATAATGGAATACCCGTTTGAGAAATTCAAGATGCCTCACCTAGAGACATATTCGGGCAAGAGAGATCCTTAGGAGCATGTTCAAAATTATTTTAATATAATGAGTATGCTCCAAGTATCTGAAGTAGTCCTGTGTCGATGCTTCCCCATCACCCTCAAAGGAAGTGCTAAATTCTGGTGGAATGCTCTGGAGAAGAGATCCATCGACAATTTTAAACAACTCAGCCACGAAAGCCTCCGAGCCTACAGGAAGATTCATCCCAGAAAATTAATGGCTGGGGACCTTGTCCTTCGCAAAGTGGCCTTCGACAAAGATACTCGGCAAGGCAAGCTGGCTCCTAATTGGGAAGGACCATACACGGTTATGGAGGAGCTCAGAGCCGGCACCTATCGGTTGAGAGCTCCAGATGGACGAATCCTCAGTAGCCCATGGAACATTAAACACCTACGACGATATTTCCATTAAAATTCTAGTTTAATCTCTTGAATTTTGAAAATTTCCTATGAAGAATGCATGCCTTAGATAATTAATAATATATCTGATGAAAAGGCTTTAGTCAAACTTTTGTGTCACCATAATAACTGGAAAATGGAAGACCTAGTCACCTAGGCACTCGACTCCTCAGTCGATAAAAAGTCCTTGGTATCTTCTCAGGATAAAACCAAGGCATAACCCTTTGACCGACTCCCACAGCCG